GTATATATATATATATATATATATATATATATAGGCCTATGTGTGTATCCCTTATTCTGTCCCTTACTTTACTATGAAAAACCACGATTGTACCTTATTTTCCTTTTCTGAAGTTGGCAACCCTAATTGCAACGCAGTTTGTGCAACAGTGATCGGCTGCAATAAAATAATAAACGCCCGGTTGCTGATTGCGTAAGTTCCAGAGGAAGCTCCTTCAGTCATCATACACACACGTGACTGACCGCTCGCTCGCACCAACAGGAGGGGGAGGGTCGTGTTACTCTCTACACTGCACTCAACATGAGGGATTCCTACACTTTCAGTCTTTGAGGAGACATGAAAAACAGCGCATACTGCAGGAACGGTATAACGGAAAATATTAGCGGTTTTGAAACCGTGACATTTTCAAATCGTGGTATACCTTGAAACCGGTAATCGGCCCATGCCTAATTGTGAAGAGCAGCGTTTCTCAACTCTAGCCCTCAAGGTCCTCTTTTCTGCAAACTTGAGCTTTCAAATAGAGCTTTCTGCCTTTAGCTTTCAAATAACACAGAAGACCTTGATTAGCATGTTCAGATGCGTTTGATTAGAGTTGGAGCTAAACTCTGAAGGAAAGGGGTTTCAAGGGCCAGAGTTGAGAATTTCCGGCAGGTGTATTGGGGACAAGTAGGACAGTGGCTCTCCAGAGCAGGTTTGGACACCTCTGGTACAGGATCGAGCATACAGTACATAATAATAATAATAATTCATTACATTTATATAGCGCTTTTCTAGGCACTCAAAGCGCTTTACATTGTCAGGGGGTATCTCTTCATCCACCACCAGTGTGCAGCATCCACCTGGATGATGCGACGGCAGCCATAGTGCGCCAGAACGCCCACCACACACCAGCTTATTGGTGGAGAGGAGGCAGAGTGATGAAGCCAATCAGTAGATATGGGGATTGTTAGGAGGCCATGATGATCAGAGGCCAATGGGCAAATTTGGCCTGGGATTTTTAATGACCACAGAGAGTCAGGACCTCGGTTTAACGTCTCATCCAAAGGACGGTGCTTGTTGACAGTATAGTGTCCCCGTCACTATACTAGGGCATTAGGACCCACACAGACCACAGGGTGAGCACCCCCTGCTGGCCTCACTAACACCACTTCCAGCAGCAACCTAGTTTTCCCAGGAGGTCTCCCATCCAGGTACTGACCAGGCTCAGCCCTGCTTAGCTTCAGTGGGTAACCAGTCTTGGGCTACAGGGTGATATGACTGGCTACATGTTGTTGATTTTGATGCATTACGTACCTAAATGTTTTGATGTCTGTTGTATTGTGCCATTAAACTGGGGATAACTTTTGTTTTTTTCACCTTAGACCTAATGGCATTGTAAAAAGAGAAAGAAGTATTCAATGACATTGAAGAGAAAGATCAATACAAGAATCTGCATGATTTCACAGCTGGGAAAAAATCTTTCAGGTGTTCACAGACTGAAAAGATCTCCACACGAAAAAAACAACGCAGTTTGTGCAACAGTGATCGGCTGCAATAAAATAATAAACGCCCGGTTGCTGATTGCGTAAGTTCCAGAGGAAGCTCCTTCAGTCATCATACACACACGTGACTGACCGCTCGCTCGCACCAACAGGAGGGGGAGGGTCGTGTTACTCTCTACACTGCACTCAACATGAGGGATTCCTACACTTTCAGTCTTTGAGGAGACATGAAAAACAGCGCATACTGCAGGAACGGTATAACGGAAAATATTAGCGGTTTTGAAACCGTGACATTTTCAAATCGTGGTATACCTTGAAACCGGTAATCGGCCCATGCCTAATTGTGAAGAGCAGCGTTTCTCAACTCTAGCCCTCAAGGTCCTCTTTTCTGCAAACTTGAGCTTTCAAATAGAGCTTTCTGCCTTTAGCTTTCAAATAACACAGAAGACCTTGATTAGCATGTTCAGATGCGTTTGATTAGAGTTGGAGCTAAACTCTGAAGGAAAGGGGTTTCAAGGGCCAGAGTTGAGAATTTCCGGCAGGTGTATTGGGGACAAGTAGGACAGTGGCTCTCCAGAGCAGGTTTGGACACCTCTGGTACAGGATCGAGCATACAGTACATAATAATAATAATAATTCATTACATTTATATAGCGCTTTTCTAGGCACTCAAAGCGCTTTACATTGTCAGGGGGTATCTCTTCATCCACCACCAGTGTGCAGCATCCACCTGGATGATGCGACGGCAGCCATAGTGCGCCAGAACGCCCACCACACACCAGCTTATTGGTGGAGAGGAGGCAGAGTGATGAAGCCAATCAGTAGATATGGGGATTGTTAGGAGGCCATGATGATCAGAGGCCAATGGGCAAATTTGGCCTGGGATTTTTAATGACCACAGAGAGTCAGGACCTCGGTTTAACGTCTCATCCAAAGGACGGTGCTTGTTGACAGTATAGTGTCCCCGTCACTATACTAGGGCATTAGGACCCACACAGACCACAGGGTGAGCACCCCCTGCTGGCCTCACTAACACCACTTCCAGCAGCAACCTAGTTTTCCCAGGAGGTCTCCCATCCAGGTACTGACCAGGCTCAGCCCTGCTTAGCTTCAGTGGGTAACCAGTCTTGGGCTACAGGGTGATATGACTGGCTACATGTTGTTGATTTTGATGCATTACGTACCTAAATGTTTTGATGTCTGTTGTATTGTGCCATTAAACTGGGGATAACTTTTGTTTTTTTCACCTTAGACCTAATGGCATTGAAAAAAGAGAAAGAAGTATTCAATGACATTGAAGAGAAAGATCAATACAAGAATCTGCATGATTTCACAGCTGGGAAAAAATCTTTCAGGTGTTCACAGACTGAAAAGATCTCCACACGAAAAAAAGCTCAAAAGACTGGAGAAACTAGAAGTGATTTCACTTGCTTTCGGTTTGGAAAGAGTTTCAATCAACAAGGAAACCTTAAAGTCCACATTGGGGAGACCCCTTTCAGTTGCCAACACTGTGGAAAAAGTTTCACTTATAAAGGAAACTTTGACAGGCATATAAAAAATCACACTGGAGAAAAGCCATACACCTGCCAACACTGTGGAAAAAGTTTCACCCATAAAGGAAGCTTTGACAGGCACATAAGAATTCACACCAGAGAAAAGCCTTACACGTGCCAGCAGTGTGGAAAAAGTTTTTCTCAACATGGAAATCTTGAAGTCCACATGAGAGTACACAATGGAGAGAGTCCCTTCACTTGCGAACAGTGTGGAAAAAGTTTCAGTCATCAAGGAAGCCTTAGCCACCACATGAGAATTCACACCGGAGAGAAGCCTTACACCTGCAAACAGTGTGGACAAAGTTTTACTAATAAAGGAAGCCTTAACTGGCACATGACTGTTCACACTGGAGAGAAGCCTTACACATGCCCTCAGTGTGGAAAGAGTTTCCATCAGCATGGAAACCTTCAAGCCCACATCAGAATTCACACCGGAGAGAAGCCTTACACCTGCCAACAGTGTGGAAAAAGTTTCACTCATAAAGGAAGCCTTAACTGGCACATGAGAATTCACACCGAAGAAAAGTCTTAGGCCCGTTGTTTCATAACCTAGCGCGTTTCCCACCTTAGCTCGGTTTGTTTGGGCATATGTGAACATGGCAATCACGCTCGGATCCGCGCCAAAACAATCGGTCCGAGATCATCTTAACGAGGTGGTCTCGGCTCGATTGAAAACGATCTCTGGAGCGGTTCTCGCTTGTAGTGAGAAAACTATCAGATTTTAACAATTTAACAATTTTGGTCCATTTAGAAGCTTTGCAGTGTGAAAGTGAACCGCACCAAGAATAAAAAGCAACATTGTAATAATTTTAATCGCAAAGCGTAGAAGTAGTGAAGTAGAAGTAGCACGCATGAATTCACACAGAGTAGAAGCCTTACACATGCCAACAGCATTTAGAGAGTTTTACTCAACATGGAAACCTTAGAGTCCACATGCGTATTCACACCGCATAAAATCCTTACAACCTGCACCCAGTGTGGAAAAAGTTTCATTCATTGATGGTTTGGGGATCTGACCGTCTCATGGCTGTGGTTTTAAATGTGATGCACAAATTGAAGTAATTGTAATATGTTTTTTGTTGTTACTTTCATGCAGTTAATGTTTCTGGATTTATTTGCCATTTTTATTTGTTTGTGCAATTCTTGAGGGCTGGTCAGGATCATTTCAATAATATGTTTAAAGCAGCAGTCTGTAGGTTTTGCCTCATTGTTGCCATCTCTGTTGGAAACCTGCAGTTGCAGTTATCAGCAGAATTTTCATGTGTATGTGGTTTGTGCTTCGGCACGGCTCCTCAGCGCGGATGAATCTAATGTTTTGAGGAGTATGTGTTGCCGTCAGTCACCACACCAGTGTGGATATTCACTGTACTCTGGTGTTACAGATACTATGTTTTGGAAGTATGACTAAAATAAGACATTTCACTGGAAAATATCATCTGAACGAATAACGTGTCTGCCTTTTTTGTTCTGACCGTCTAAGAAAAAGAAGCATTACAATAAATCGTGCTACCAATGGTGATTAAATCTAACGAATGCTTTGCTCATATCACATCAAACCATGCAAATTATTATTATTATACTTTGTTCTCAAATTGTTAATGTTAACAACATCAGCATTGCGTGACTATGTGTATTTAGTGTGTATTAGCGTCCGAAGTCTTATGCTTTTGACTGAATCTCCAGTTGTCACTGATGATTGTCGTTTGGACCTTTCTGGCCATCTGCCATCAAAGTGACAAGTTGAATTAATACCTGTCAATGTTAAATACACGAAGCCCCGCGCATGACAGCAGGAAAAAAGATATCAACTCACAAGAATGTTTTATTAATCATTGGTTTTAGTATATATGAGTATGTTTTATTATTTGTTCCCTTGGTTTAAGCTCCATTGATTTAGTTAAATTGTAAACACGTTTTACACTTTTTTTTTTATTTTTTTAGTTATATCATGAGAACAAATAAATAAAACATTGCTATCGTTTTATTTATTTTATGGAATAATACACACCTCTTTAAATGTGATCTAAAACAGTGGTTTTTAAACTGTGGGTCACGACAAGCTAACAACTAAAATTGCATTTCAGTGACACAATCATACAGTTCAGTCTAGGGCTTCACGATATAGCCTACCAACATTAATTACGAATTGCAATATTCTTTAAGTCCGCAATTTAAAACTTGCATTGCGTGTTTTGAAGCGCGGGTGTACAAGTTGTAATAAAGTGAGGGTCTCGGAGCAACATCATTATTAAAAGGCTCGATCCACATTATTAATGAGAAGAAACTCACTCACTTCACTGCGCTGTATTCTGCATGAGATTGCATACACCGGAAAATTCAAATGTTACAAAAAATGTTTCAGGTAGGCTATGTTCATTCATTTCTATCGTCTGTTTGAACTCGGCGTTGTTTTCGTTCCTTCATATGCAGTTGGCTACTTACCAATAAAGAAACAGTCTGTAAAAAGCATTTCACATGTACGGGGTTGAATGTAACACTACAAGATTTAGACATTTCCACATAACAAAATTTACAAAATTTCATATTACTTCCTTGCCATATGTCTATATAGAGAAAAAATGTGCCAAAGTTCAACAGTCTTTTGAAAATATTGCTGAACATTTATTTAAGCATTGCAAAAGTAAATTTCTGACTGAAGTAAATTTGTCATCTCAGTTTTTAGCGTTTATTTAAAATTAGAAAACTGTTTATTATTTTTACCCATTTCACAATTATTTTAATCTCCAAAATAATTGGAGTTTTAGATGGTTCAAAATAACTTTTAGATAGTTCTGCTTCACTGTTGGTGTGTGCGCCGCTCTCCCCTACACACACACACACTCTCTCTCTCTCACACACACACACACACACACACACACTCTCACACACACACTCTCTCTCTCTCTCACACACACACACACACACACACACACGCACGCACGCACACGGAAGGACCATGAATGCATTTTCTGTGCTGAACCCCGCGATGAGTTTAACAACACTCTCAGCGGATTACAGTTCACCGGAGTGAGTGTGTTCCGAGTTTTTATGCACGTTTCATATTTTAACATCTGTAAACAAAGAAATTAAAACTTAAATATGAGTAATGAAATTTTACAGTTGTACTTTAAAATAAAATGGATATGTTTCTTAAATACTTAATTTTTGTCATATTAAACTTTTAATTAAGATTAAGCTTAAAGTAATGTCAATTATTTTTTGATCTCAATATTTTGGTGGGTCGTGAAATAGATTATACTTGTCTATGTGGGTCATGGAATAGAAAAGTTTGGGAACTCCTGATTTAAACCCCTGGCTGGTACTGTGCAATAAAAATTAAACACTTCAAGCACTATCGTGGCGATTTTGCGAATGAGTTTCACGTGTTATTGGGCTGTATTTAATTGTTAGAGGCATTTTGGTTGACTAAATGTTACTTGGAATTTGTTCAAAAAAAAATATATATCTATAAAATCTATAAAATATGAAAGAGCAATGCACAAGTATGGTCCACCAATAAACATAAAAGCTCTAACAATCAGGGAATTTAAGGTTATTTGAAGCGGCAAACTTTGAAACACAGATTAGAAATAGGTAATTGACGTGACATGTGGCCAAGTATGGTGACCCATACTAGGAATTAGTGCTCTGCATTTATCCCATCCAAAGTGCACACACACAGCAGTGAACACACGCACACCGTGAACACACCCGGAGCAGTGGGCAGCCATTTTTTTTGCTGCGGCGCCCGGGGAGCAGTTGGGGGTTCGGTGCCTTGCTCAAGACTCTCTAACCATTAGGCCACAACTCTCTAACCATTAGGCCATGACTTCCCCATTTTGTACTTGCCAATACTTGAAGCTAATCTGGACTGCTGAAAATGACCAACACCACCCTGTAAGTGTATACTTGGTGTTATTGTGAATTTTCAGCAGTGAAGGTTACTTCACTTACAAGCTCATATAGGCATTGATTCACACTTTTGTACTTGCTTTGGGTGACCATATTTTATAAAAAAAAAAAAAAAAAGAGGGGGTGGGGTGTGAGGATGACCATATCCTATCAAAACTCAAAATATTTTATTTCCATACCTAAACATTCATAAACAGCTAAAAGGCTTCCTACCACAGTGGCCATTCTTCACAAAACGTATATCTACCACAGTTTTATCATAGGTAAAATGCTAAATGTTTCAATACAAGCATTTCAGTCAATTGTAATTTATGCAATATTTTCAAACCTTGAACCCACGGGAGAAAATCAATCTGCAGCAACAGTTAAAAATCAGCCCAATTCCATGGAAAAAATGCAGATTTGGCAACCCTACATCCAACATAAGCTGCATCCAAAGCGATTTTAATACTCCACATATGCATAGCAACTTATATTCAATATTAGAATGTTTGCGGGAGCGGGATTTAGAAAACAGTCAAGGCTTTAATACAAAAATGCACACCATGAATGGCGACTGTAGAAAGCAAAAGCCAAATCCCTGACATTTTGGGCGATTTCGAAATAGGATTTTAATTTGATTCCTTGTCATTTGAGATGCAACTTAAAGCTTAATAAAGTGTTGAGAAAAAGTATGTAAAATTATTTATTTGCTAAATGACGGTAATATTCTGTAAGACTGTGCCAGTTACGGAAGCTTCTGGGCGAGCAGATTCACAGTAGCTTTAGCACCTCCCTTGTATTGCTATGACTCATCAGGATTGTTGCACGTTCTCAGGTTTGCTAGCATGCGGGTGATTTCATGCGTGTGGTAAGCTGTCCGCAAAGCGCTTGCCCAAGTGGAAAAATGTGTTGTTGCTGCCAGATCTTGATTGCCGAAAATCACATTGTGCTTGATGCAAAACAAACTCTACTAAATCAAATTTAAAACACCATAATGATATATTTTAATGCTCTCTCAAGCAAATAAAATTTGAGAGTCCACTGAAATCCTAAACCCAGTTCCCTGCATGTCTGTCAGCAACGCATTGTAACACACGCACGCACAACAATGCACGCTGCGTCCTCTAGCAGACACTTAGGGGAATGCCGCCAGCATGACTGGTGTATGAAACACGTGTGAAACGACGGCAATTCTATTGGTATACGTGGCCTGTGACATAATAGGCAGGTACTAGGAAGTATAAAAGGGCATCTGCTGAATACCAACTTGGTTGTCTGAAGGAAACGTAAACTGGCAGGCCGAAGGCATGCCCCTCACCTGTCAGGGAACCATGGTTGCATGCTTAACCCGAGATGTTCCACCTGGTGAGAGACCAAGGAAGTGACAGACATACACCAAGCCTTTCCTCAGAAAGCAGCCAAGCCACAGACGCCTCCGGCCGCTCACATAACTTGGCAGAAACAGGGGAACCTGAATCCTGATAAAATGGAACATCCCAGCAAAGTTAAGAACATAACTATCCTCAGATAGCTAGGCTCTAGGAAAGGGGACCATTGCAATTGCCAAGACCACCAGCAGTGGGCTTTCTAATTATAAACCCTGTAAGGGGAGACAGCACTATGTAGGCAGGGCTCAAGGAGATTGCTACTTAAAAACCCTAAGCAGGGGAGCAGTCACCGAGCTAGCGCATAGCTATCCTCAGATATTTCCGGGAAAGGGCTCAACGCAACTGCAAGTGTAACACACGCACGCACAACAATGCACGCTGCGTCCTCTAGCAGACACTTAGGGTAATGCCGCCAGCATGACTGGTGTATGAAACGTGTGAAACGACGGCAATTCTATTGGTATACGTGGCCTGTGACATAATAGGCAGGTACTAGGAAGTATAAAAGGGCATCTGCTGAATACCAACTTGGTTGTCTGAAGGAAACGTAAACTGGCAGGCCGAAGGCATGCCCCTCACCTGTCAGGGAACCATGGTTGCATGCTTAACCCGAGATGTTCCACCTGGTGAGAGACCAAGGAAGTGACAGACATACACCAAGCCTTTCCTCAGAAAGGGACCAAGCCACTGATGCCTCAGGCCGCTCACAAAACCTGGCAGAATGGGGTAACCCAATTTAGATAAAGGGGAACATCCCACCCAAGTTAAGAACACAGCTATCCTCAGATAGCTATGCTATGTGAGCAATACTAGCCTAGATACACAAGACCACTGAAGAGGCTAAACTATAAAGCCTCTGGGGGAGCTCAAAGAGATCGCTACTTAAATTAAGGAGAGTAGCTGCTCAGCTAGCAATCCTCAGATAGCTATATCCTAATGGTCTTATGAAGGCTCGTAGACCATTTTAGAATGAACAATACACAGCTAACCCAGATAGCCAGATAAGGCCTTCCTGCAAAGCTGCCCAGACCACAGAGAGTGGGTTATCTACTTAAAATCCTAGAAGGGGAGATAGCACTGTCTAGGCAAGGGGTCAAGGAGACCGCTACTTAAAGACCCTAAGAAGAGGAGCAGTCACTGATCTAGCACATGGATATCCTCAGATAACTATGTACCTAGGAAGGGGCTACCAAAAGGGGGACTGACTGAGACTACCCAG